ATATATATATATATATATATATATATATATATATATATATCACGAGAAAGAGGATGATACATTTCAGTCCAGAGTTGACTCCGAATATGCGCACATGTGAAATGGATCATTGTCAAATTTCAAGTGGTTACAAATCTTTTGATTTTTTTACTACACACCTAAGTATGATGAACAGCAGATGGGGTGAACCCCCTAGTCACCAGCTGGACCAGCTGCTCAGTAGTGGAAGCCGGCAACCTAGGCTCCAGGACTTGGAGTGACGAACCATTTGAGGCCCCGACAGATTAGGCGTGGTATTGAACCGGACGACAACAGAGCTGCCTATCACCAAAGTCGGGTGGCGGGGTTCGAACCTCGGATCATGGGGTCCTAAGCACGCCGGTGACAGCGACTAAACTATTGCGCCACCACCACCCGTTGATGCAACTGAAATGGGCCGAGAGGTAAGTGTTAGCGCAAATTTCTGCCACGTACAAAGTGGGAATTGTGAATCCAAACGCTTACAGACCCCGTGGTGGATAAAACGCGATGCTTCATTGTTCTTGAAGTACCACATCAAACTTTGCGAAACGGAAAAATGTGTATGTACCACCTAGCCGGAGTTCTATGGGACCAATTTACAGAACGCGAGTAAACAAAAGTGAAGCACAATTCGTCAGTCGACCATTTGTTAGATTTACTAGCCTTACAAGACCGGATTACAGAGAAACAGCGGTACAGTGGACCCCAGTGACTCTGCGGTGTCAGGCGAGAACGATTGGTTCGGATTGTGATTCATTTTATTGCCGAAGATCATCACTTGATTTGGAACTCATGAATTACTAAACAAATAAACACATTACATGAACAACTGTGACCTGGAACAACATCTGATACTTTAGTAAAAAAGAACTGAAAACTACTGCTATTTTATACAGCATTAGTTATAAAGAACTCTGCAATAAACACGCGTGTCACGAAACGTGCCTGAAGTCCGGAAGTGATCATCTGCGCGAGCTGAATGACAAAAAGAGCCACACAGTCCATTTGCAAGTTTTTATAATTTGGATCGTCGATCGGTTCCCCGGTCTCATAATTCAATCGCGGACTTAAGCATGTATCCACATTCTGAGCCTTTTTGAATTGTTCTAGCTGAAAACAGGGAGAACAGGGAATGGAATAATATCAGTTCCACACACTGCAACCTGACACGTAATGATGATTAACCGGAGGGTTAAACAAATCAACAGAACGGATGCAAAAACAGCCTAACAACTGATTCGAGAAATTGGAACAGTAGCCCAAGGTTAGGGGAACATAATGGGTCATTTTGATTGTCTTCAAATCATACATATAGCAAAAATTGTTTCAAAAAGAAATTGCATTCAGTGTTTGCAATCAACGGTTAGATAAACTGAGTGCTATAGCTGAGTGTCGTAAACAGTGGCGCATGTGCGTCTTCCCAATTTCTTTGCAACCTGGAATTCGCAACTTTCTCTTCGACTTTACTTTCAACTTTTTCTACTCCGTCGTCCAAATGGGTAGCCAGTACACAGCAACCAAAACTAGTGCACGAAAGTGCATGGTTAGTGGTTGTACAAACTGAACTGAGTTTTCAAAGAACATTCGAGTGAATAACTAACAGGGAGCAGAAGGGGGGAAATTCATGAACAACGTTGAAAGATCGCAAGAATTCGGTGCTTGGAGGCTTCACTATCATCTAAATTCTTATCACTTTTGTACCACAACATTACAGGTCCTGTGAAATTCACTGCAAATACCATGGAATAGGCTGCTGCTCTACCTCACCCAAAGGTTAGATCCTTGTGAATAGAATGTTCACCACTTTTGTTGATCATTACGCCATGATACATAATTTTCGGGAAATCGGGATCCGAGAAAGCTGCTCGATATAACTTGGGATAAAATAATGAGCACCGAAATGATTGTAGGCTGATTTCACGGTCACCATAAGGACGGATGGATAGATAGATAGATAGATAGATAGATAGATAGATAGATAGATAGACGGATTTGAACTGATGAATCACGTAATCCTTTAATAAGATGGGCGTGGTATTTATCCGGGGCATAGCGAAGTTGTCTTCTCTGGACCAGTCTGCCTGTCTTTTCCATCCATGAGTTGATAACAGTATGGGGAATAAACATCCAAATCTGCAAGTATAAAGCACGTGGAAGTGAGCAAAAGATTTAATCTATACTCCGTATTTCGACTTTGTATTTTAGGATGATGCTGTAAGTTAGAAGGCATACAAAGGGGGGGACTGTGTCCAATAGCTCAGGTTGACTAGATCCGTGTTTTCGGGGAAGTTGCAAGCTTTTCTGCTTGACTTACGTAGCAGTACATCCATATTTGGCATTTGATTCAGCTCCCAATCTCACTGAAGTTGGAGCAGCGATGGAGAAAGGCTATTTTGCTATTTTGGTAGCTATATATCATCCGACGGACGAATCTAGGATGAAGTTTCGACAAGCACAGTAGGGGCTCGGTTGGAGGTAACTATGGTGCTGTCGCGAGACATGCGGCTGTCTGTGAAGGGTCAGTTATGATGCAGTCGTTCGGCGAGTGATACTATATAGTGCAGAGCACTGACCATGAAAGGAACAAGATGGGCTGTCGGCGTTCGAACAGCGCCATTTACGCCGGACGACACAACTCCGGCGGGGCAAACCACAAAATAATGCCGTGGTTTGGCCCAAGGTTTACATAGTCACGATCGAGCAATTTCAAGTCAAGTCCAAGTCAAACATCACTTTATTCATTCTAATGGATCGATTCTCAGCTTTTTGCACTAGGATCATTTATCACCGCATACAGTCACAAAGAAAAAGTGAAAAAACAGCGTTGTAAGTTGAAAGGAATGTTGAGTACAGTTAGAAAATGGATATAAATTGCGTAGGAAAATCAAACTTTTTCCTCTAACGGATACCTTTTCAGCCAGAAATCCCAAAAGATAGGGGATGACGAACAAACGGTAGGCAGTGGTATGAGCATACAACTGTTCATAACGACTTCTAGTTACAGACGTGGACATGCATTGTTTAGGTTCTGTGTGTAATGGGTGAGTGATGTCTGATAGAATACTGTTGAAGAAGTTATCACCAGAGGTAAAGTGTTTGTCGGCGATAAAGTTAAGCAAATGTAAATAAGGAATACCGCTGTGCGAGAAATAATTTTAATAGACTGGCGTAGAATTGTGTGATCTTTAACTTTAAGACCGACAAATAAAACTGGGAAGCAGTAGAGAAGATGAGTAACAACACAAGAATATACAAATCGGGTGAGTAAATACAGCGTAACTTTCGAAGAACGCAAAGCAGGTAATAAAGGAACACAGTCTTCGAATCTTTTCAATTGTTTGAATTCCCCAGATTATGGTAGTTGGGGTATGTGTTCTGTATATCACCAAGTAAATTATCACATTCGATGTTTATCGAAGCCAGTAGTGGATGAGAAAAAGTCACGGGTAATCAAACTAAGATCTGGCATGAAAGTTTGAAAAACCTGACCGAGAGCCTCGGTCATATAGATTGCGAACCTTGGGACCAGGTAAGAGACAAAAAGTGGAATGTCTGGGTACCGTAAACAGTGGAGCTTGTGCATTTACCTCATATCCTAGCAACTTACCTGAATTATCTAACTTAACATTGACACTGCTTCAAGGAAACCCATCTTTTCCAGAATACTTCGCCCAAATGAGTAGCCAACAGACAGAAACCAGAAACGAAGAATGAAAGTGCATGTCCAAATCATTTTCACCTGGTACCTGAGCTGAGCAACCTGTTTGCAAACGTTTCATTACATGCCGAGGTAACATGTTTGGTGCACCTGGTGTTATAGTGCTGTGCTTCGGACGGCTCACTCACATAGGAAAAAAACGGAGAACTCCCGGATGACAAACAGTGAAGGTGACGTTCAGTTCAGCTTTTGCAACCATTATCCATGCACTTTCAGGTGCGGCTGCGCATTTAGATTGGGCACCTCCTGGCTTTTCCTTGACCATTCACTGTCGCCCCTGGAGAGGTTACTCCAGCAAATAAACACGAGGAGCATTTTATCGAATAGAAAGCCCCCTAAGATGGACGTAGGAGCGGGGTAGCTGGGGCCTCCTCTCGACAGTGGAAGAAATCTAAGTTGGATAGCTATTGCAACGATTGGCGACCGCGACAGTAATATTTTATTGTGAGTGCTTGCATCTCAGTAGACCTTTTTGGTTCATGGCGTTTTATTCGCTTTGCCTTTCAGGTTTATTTTTAGCCTCCATCCGCCGCGTGTCCCGGTCGCCCCGCCTTCCTACCGCCGATCTCCACCGTCTTTCGTCGCCCGTGAAGCATCGTATCATCTCCAGCTGCGAGAATACGAGCCACGGGACATCCTGTCGTGCATCTGTGCTCGTTCCGCTGCGCTGCGAGAGCCCGGAGTATGTTTGCATTA